CAAGTTTCTGAAATTTGGATTTTTTTATTTGTTTTGCTTTTCATCATATATTACAAGCCGTGAACAGCGAGAGTATTCTCCATTTTTCTAAATAATTTACGCTCTGTAGTCATTGAGCAATTTCAATTTTTTTTATGGGAAAATATTACAAATTTATACGATTTTTCAGCTTTTAAGGAATATAATCGTCCTTATTTACTTTACAACTTATTTAGCTATGTCTATGGGCTGTGTTGACGAAATAATTGTCCACGCGCATTACGCCATCTTTAGGGTATGAATCAAGGCTATTTAAGCTTCTGTCTCTTAAGAGTATGAATTGTAATTTTACTAAAATACAAAACAGCTAACAAGACCAAGCTTTGTCGAGAGCTAAAAGCATGCTCTTATTTTTCACTTCCTTTTTTTCGTCCAAACAATCACAATTGCGTCTATGAATGAACCATGCATAAATTTTCCAATCGCGATGACCTTGGATTTATACAAACTTTTAGGAGAATTTTTCCCCGAAACATGCCTTTTCAGTTACGTAAATGAGGTGTTGAAGCCAGACAAAAAAAACGGTGTGGTTTGGTCATCTAAAGTTTGTCTTTCCGATAACTAGTTAAAAATTAAAGTGCTCAATTTGACTGGCTCGCTCTGGCTTGCAATTTCCAGTTTTAAACAAGGTCCATTTACGCATACATTTAATGATCGCAAGAAGCGCTGATGTACTCTTCAAGTCGACCTTAACTGCACCTTTTAATCCGTCGACTTTTGTTTGCAGCCAACAGTTAAAAACTTATTCAACGAAAAATGCCGGCAACCTGTTATAAAATTCTGGTAGATGTAACCGGCGATCTCCTGACAGTATTGCAAAGCGCTTATGCCATCGGATTCTTTAAATTGGTACAATAGACATTATCCTACTGTTTATAAACCACTGTTTACTGTAGTTATATCTCGAATATTACGCTTTGATGGGAGATAACCCGATATAGAGATGTCTGAGGCAAACAAAGAAAGTATACTATTATTGCGGAGAACACTTGTCTAACAATCAACCGTTAGGTGCATGCGCCTCAAAAATTGATTTATCGCAGTCGGACGCGTATTTTTCGAGGGGTAATCTCGGGGGCCAAGTTCAGTTTAAAAAGAAAGAAAATAGCCATACCATTTCTTCGCTTCTAAATGAATTAGTATCTGAGTTAGAAGTGAAATTACCGATCAGCTCGACATCAATAGAATTCTAAATCTGATATTCACATCAAAATGCATCAAAAATGTCTTTAACAAAAACTTTCCCCGTCACGAACGTAACCAGATTATTTAAGATCTGCAGATGAAAATTGTTCATTTCTTTACAAAATAATCTTTACGGTAGCGCTTGATACTTCTGTACTTTCGCTCGGACGTAGCTGCAGTGATAATGAAGCAAACAAAAAATGATTTTATTCAGACAGTGGTGCAGAGCATTGATTAATAAGATGCAATCGAGGTGAAATGTATACCACACTTCGAAATTTACTGTTATGACTAAAAAATCAACATACTCTTGTTTCCAAAAGGTACTGAAGACGTTAGCGATGTATTTATTCTAAGTCCTTGAGAAGCCCTATTTTTACAAAATAAAACTGTTATATACCTTAAAGAAAATAACCATGAAGAAACAAAAAATTTTAAGTACATCATACCCTACTGCAGCACCATGCGCGAAAAGTGTAGTTACATTTCCCCGGCAGCTTTCAAAGCTGATGATTTGAAAATCTTATTTCACGGCTCAATATCATTTTCAAAAGGGATATGTTTTGGTGATAAAACATACTACCATAGTCCTCCGAGTGGAATGTAACAAGACAATAGTTACATCAGAGTAACAAAGTCGGCGGAATAACTAAATACCCTATTATCTCCACGGAGGACTTTCAAGCAAGCGTACAGAGTCAGGGTTACTTTTCGACAAAATAACACTCAATAAAATATTCTGAACGAGATTATATCTATCGGATGAATTTCCCTTCTTACAGTCGGCTGGAAATATCTTTTTTTTTTATCAGTGATATTGGCCTTTGCTCTCGCTAATAATAATTATATTGAGAACATTGAAGGCCCATTACATACGCTTGAGATTCGCCAGCCTGACAAGACAACACAGCAACACCAGTTTTCCTTTCTGTCGACGCTTCTCAAATCCTGATAAGCTTATTTCAACCCGAAGCTATTGCATTTACCGGGAAAACGTATGGTGTGGCTGCCAAAAACGTAATCTATAGGCCCTGTTTCAATTTATGTCCAGCACTTCTCGCAGCCAATCTGATAAAAATCGAAAAATTGAGTATAGCTAGTTTCTAAAGTAAAGCTGTACAGAGTTAAAGCTAGCCGCTTACTCGCGGCGCTCGGTAAATATAGCGGAAAGAATCCACACTTCGTAGCTGACTTTTAACAAACCTATAAACCCATGTTTATTTAGTTGTTCAGCAAGCTTTCTTAAACAAACGGAGCGCAATTTCGCACTGACTTACTGAGTCAAAGTTGAAACCGAAAAAATTATCGAACTGAGTCAAAAATAGATGGTTCGCACCGGTGTCGGGTTGTTATGGTGAGAGCAGATATCAGATGGAAGTTCATAAAATCACTTTAAGTAATATCAGGTATAGATCCGCAGATGGACGATTAAGCCGTGAAAAACTCATTCCGAACGTGTGCTCTTGTCACAGTCTTTTGAATTTCTTTTCAATAGCAATCTAGTTCACTTGATGAGCGCAGTGAATTTGGTAACACGCACCGAGCTCTTAATTTCCTTCCACTGTTCATCAGTTACAGGAAATGAGGAATGAAGTTTAACAAAACTTTTTACATCCTTCGGCGAAAAGTGTGTGTAAATTTAAATATAGTTGTATTTTCTCTGTGTTACATTTGCGCATCTTAATCTAACCTCAAAACAAAGAACGGGAAAGGTTTTTACAAAAGACGCGATTAAACTAAAGAATGGTTCAAAACGCCCAGTCAGAAAACAATATTTCGTCGACAAAGAAAGCTTTTTGAGGGCAAATAAGCTTTTCGACTCCAATGAATACCTTTCTTGCAAAAACCTCTTCAACCCATTTATTTTTGTTTGCTCCGAGAAATACCGCGCTCTTTTCAATAATTTTTTTCAAAGAATAGGTCGAACTGTTATTAAAATTGCGTTCGAATAATTATATTTTGCATCCGCCTGAAACATTTCACTTTTTCGAAAAGAAAACACACACAACGAATTGTAAAGGCTTAATTAGACAGGCCGTTATCAATGGTTTGTACTGTTAAACGGACCAAAGTTATACAATGATAACAAACCAATTCATTTTACAAGCAAACAAGCGAAGGCAAATAACAGAAAAAAGGAATCTTTCGGTGTGTTCAGAATTTATCGTTTTTATTCTATCACAAAGGTGTTCCTTTCGAAAATTGTTTTTCTCTACATAATTACCAGCGTCAAAGCTTTGATTTTCGTGGCGGGCCTTGTTTAGGTGATCTCTCTTTCAAGTTCCGCTCGTTTGCAGATCTCATTTTCGATAAGATTGCCTAAAATTGAAAATAATTCTTGGCCTCTCAACATTGATAGCGTTGAATGATGGAAAGGTCATTAGAATAATAAGTACCAAAACAACTCTTTTAAACATGTCACATTTGTGACTCTTCTGAACAGCATGTTGTCGAAATGTTTAAACGATCTAGAACACGATTTCCACCTTCTCTACGAATCCATTCCATAAAGAAAGACTTTAATTTCGAAGGGTTTTTTTGCGTGAAAATTTTACTTCACGAAAGGTATAAATTTAATTTGAAATCTACCCCGTACAAACGATCGTATTTAGATGAGTCATTCAGGGCTTTTTTCATGATAATTCTTTCAACGGAACCTCTACAACAACAAGCTTTCAGGAGTTTTCATTCACGAATTACCATGATAACGACTCTTCTATTGTGTACAAACAAAAGGTTATTATACGAAAGGAAGTGGGTTCTTTCATAAAGGGCACTTATGCTTTAGTACTATTCATTGCCCAAAGCGATTAATCAGTTTCCTTATAGCATGGGATTGAAAATGCAAACGAACCTTCATCTTGTGATAAGTAATGAAAAAATAAAACCAAACCTCTCCGGCAAAAACCATAATTGAATAAATTGTGAAAAAGACTTCAATAAACTCTCGACTCCTATTAAAATATCTATACATTAAAAGTGAAACATGATACGGTGCTAGTTACGAGTGCGCGCGAGCAAACGCACGGATTTGCCGTCAGCCTCAGTCTTACATTGAGAGAGAGAGAAAAAAAATTGTTTTGTTGTGTATTTAGTGAAAGATCTCGACATTGTAGTTAGCAATTTCACGGCGAGACAAAAGCTTTCATAAGCGAAGTGTATTCTTATGCTAAACGGACGAATAAAAGCCTTGATAATTGATCATTTGTAAGGCAATTCGGCGGAGAAAAATGACAGCCCCACCGAAAGAATCGGATATTTACTTTGCTTTACTTTCAATATAAATTAATAATTTCCCAGTGCAAGTTGAATATTAACGCGATGTTTGTGGAAACTACTCGCCAGGAGCGATGGAAGTGCGGAATTGAACTTTCAAAGGAAAAACATACTATCCATTGTTCGGAGCGGCTTGCCTCACAAGGACCGCTGAAAGCCTAAAGATCGCTGAATTTTGAGTGCATTGTCTTCAAACAATGGGAAAGCAATTGATGAGTAGAAAACAAAAGTTGGGCCATTGTACTTTCGCCAAACCAAAATAGAAAATTATTTACAAAATCCAAATATCTTTTTGAAACACCAATCAAGGTAATATCGCGAAACATTTCAAAGGCACCACTCGAGGGGAATTTTCGGATTCAACTTCCTCTATTTTAATTGGATAGCCTTTTCGTAAAGTGACGTGGTCTGAATACTTTGTGAAAGCGAGAATGAAACTCAATTATTTCACACGCATGCTCTAAGGTGCGAGCTTTGATCTTTACCGCGTGAAGCAATCAGCGAGAAGTTCACTTTCAACGAGCCAGCGACCAGCACGGACCGATATTTACTCTTGACAACCTAGAAGTCTCTAGGAGCTAAAATTTAGTGAATCGTGCGGAATAATAGTAGAGGATATCCACACACAGACATGGCCAAGCCAGCTGAACATGTCAAGCGCCCCATGAATGCGTTTATGGTTTGGTCCCGAGAAGAGAGGAGAAAAATCGCCCAGGACAACCCCAAGATGCACAACTCCGAGATCAGCAAAAGGCTCGGAGCTGAATGGAAGCAGTTAACAGATGATCAGAAAAAGCCGTTTGTCGAGGAGGCCAAGCATCTACGGGCGCAGCACATGAAAGAACATCCTGACTACAAATATAGGCCCCGAAGAAAACCCAAATCGCTGTTGAAAAAGGTAGACCGCTATCCATTTCCACTACCGTGTTTACCAACCTCTGACGAACTACTCAAGTGTAGTCCTCCCGGTATATCGACATCATCGTTCGTAACGGACCCGTTCTCGTCAGCGGTGAACGGCAAATCACGATCATTTATCCCAGTTTCATCAGGATACACTTTTGACTCGAGTACCGGGCACTCCATTACCTCATCAAGGTTCGACCGCGGACTAGAGATTCCAAGCGCTGTACGCCCTGATATGCTCACGGGAGGGCAAATGTACCCTCACTCTGCGCTCTATCCAAGCGCTCCACCGACAAGTTCGGCTCTGCTGAACGCTTCTGGTATGCCTGTTTTACCTGGAGGCCAATTAAGTCCTCACTCGCATCTCCACGCTGTTCAGGGAAGCAATGGACAGTATACGGTTCCTTGCAACTGTTCGTCGTGGCAGGGACAAGATGTAAGGAGACCTGTCGCATATCTACTCCTTTAGTTGAAGTGACTGACTCTTAAATTCATTTATCACGATTGACTATTTATGTATAATACAGCAACTAACTGGTGTAAATTATTCTTATCGAGCAAGCAAGAATTTTATTATATTATTCCGTGCGATTTCATATGATTTTTTTTTCATGGACAAATTCATTCCAGACGAATACATTTCACTACGTAGAGATGTTGACGAGTTTGACGACCAAATTTCTGACCACGGAAACCGTTGCCAGATCGCAACACGTCAGAATTTGTATATTATAAGGCTATGTGTGTGAATATTTAAATATTGAAAGAATTCTCATTCGACCTCATTTGATGGGTTAGTAGCTCTTTTAGGAGGTACTATTAAATTTCCGCTTTGGTTTGCCAAGCAGAGTGACTCCGCAAGCCCTACTTGTCCGTTATTTACCAGAGCAACTTTCACTCGTAATTTAAATTTGACAAAACTAACCCCAAGTTTTCACCGAACTGTCACATTAAAATTAGCATTGAATGTAATTTGTTGTCAACTTTTGTTGTCTCAGTTGGGTTTATTTGACACTAGCTTTGATGTTAAAGTTTGAAAAAATTCCGTTAGCATAGGAAACGCTCCCCTGTCAGTCAGAAATCTTCCCCATCAAACATACAAAGACAACTGTCTTCGTTTACATCTATTGTGCCAAGGTGTAAACTACGTATTCGTGGTTTAAAACAGCAAATAGTTTTGGTACTCTGTCCGAAGAAACAGTTCAAGGCTGGCACGAGTGCAAGCTTTGAAACTTGAGGTTAGATGGATGAAATTTCACCGGAGAAAGTTTGTCTTTGGTGTCGCTTATATCTTCGACGTTTCATTTGAACACAAAAAAAGAGATGGATTTGTATAATAATTACAGAAACCCTAAACAGATGGCGTCCCGCAAAGAAAATTATTTCCTTCAAATGCATCTTTGAACGGAAGCATCTGTAATCTTCTTGCTGCTTAGAAAGCATCACAAAAAAAACTCCCCCTTCTATCGATTTAGGTTGGTCTCCCGTCGTCCGAGTGAAAAACACAGCTGTACCAAAGCTCACCGAGAAGTGCTGTGCGTCGTTATTGTAAATCTTACTTTCGCATATTGATAATTATATAAAAGAAACTGAGAGACAAGGGCCGAGAATAACAACATAATAAAAAATACATGAGGTGTTGAATGAAAGAGATGACATAAATAAATAAATGGACGATCAAGAAGAGATAAAATGAATAACAAAGGTGAATGAATTACAATTGCTCTAATACTAATATCTCCATAACAAAAGATTACATCCACAAAAATACAATAACTGAATAGCGGCACAATGGCTCGATCGGTAAATAAGGGAAAGGCAGGAATGAAAGGCACGGCTTTCGGAAAAAGCGAGGCAGTGATGAGATGACTTCGCTACGTATTACTTGTTTGTAAATGCTTAAAAAACGCGGTGCGAAAACAATCGTCTCAAAGGGGGCACCGCTTAGAGGGCATCTTAAACAAACATGAACAGAAAAGGGATTGAATAGCTCATAATCACCACCTTTCGAATCGTTTTTAGGGCATTGAAAAAAGAAATATCCTAGCATGGTTCACGTTGATTTGCTAAAAATTGCGAGCAAGAAGACCACGCGTTCGAATCACGCCGAGCTACATTTGCGCGACGCGGCAGATGTCGAGTCAGCGACGGGCCTTTGTAAACTGCGTGCGACATTTATTGGGCTTTAAGAGGCTATGCAAGTGACAAAAATCAAAGCTTTCAATTATGACCATTGTCTTTGTTTTATAAAACACTGGGATTGTTTGTAAAATGTGTTCGAGATGATCTGTTTGCCGATTTACGATAGCGTTTGGTTTCGACGAGTTTTCGTTTTTTTTTTTTCGCTTGATGGTTTGGCGCGCAAAATTTCCCTTCAGTTTTAGGCGGGAAAAAAGCGCTTATAAACGTTAGCTGTCAAGAACGTGTCAGCTGAGGAGAGCGCGGCGTTTTCGTCAAACAACTTACTTTTATATGCAGTAATAGTTTAGTCATTAGCTGTCAATGTGTCCTTTTCGGCACTTCAATTTAAGAAAACATAATCTTTAATTCCGCGCTTCGAGGTGTGAGTCAGAGAAAGCGATATTTATAATCGATGATCGATGTTTGCCTATCTATCACACTTCTTTGGTTAAAACACTCAAGTTTTATCGCTGCTCTTAAGATTATCAAACCGACAAGCGCAATGTCCTCTAGGCAAGGAAATGGAAAATCCAAATTTGTTTTTCGCCGACGTTTGTTAGGAGAATTTCCCCTTTTGCTCCTAATTGTGTGATCCAGGATCATCAACACCTTAGCCTACGGGGTTGCCAGACCTTTTCGTCCTAAAATTACAGCATTATATTCGGTGACCTGTGTTATTTGTATTCAATTTTATCTCCCGCTGTATTCAATGGAAAATGAAAAGTAGTTATGCCAAACAACGTCAAATAACTTTGATTGCCTTTCAATGCCTTGGCAAGTTCGTAGTGTTGCACTGAAGTTTTAGAGTCGAAAAGGTCTGTCATCTTTCCACGGTCATTATCTAGAATGAGGAAAATTGAAGTTTATCAAAGCGGTTTTCGCTTTTTCAAAAGAAGAATGCGTGGAAATAATTATAATAGTTTTCTGAGCAGAGATAAAAAAAACGCACGAAATTGAAAAAAAATGATAATAACAAGTAAATAACGTAAAACGAGAGAATAAATGGTGATGTTGACCATTTAAAGCAGAACGTGTTTTTAATCGTCTAAGAATACCGGTGTAATTTTTGAATAGATCGCATGGTGAAAACTGTACTTCTACCACAATCGCCTATAGCGTTTGCACTTAATTACAAAGGACATAATGGCGTGAAACACAAGTTTAAGTTCTTCGAGAACTATTACAATTACTCAATTTCATTGAACACGGAAACAATGCCGAGATTTCTGATTCATTACGGGCCGACGTGAAACCAAGCTTAGAAAGTGCCGAAGCCAAATAAGTCATTATGAGGAAATAATGGTTTGATGAGCAAGTGGCTGGCCTGAATATATCCATATTATTTATTAATGCAAATGTTTAAAGTAAAATGAAAACTTTCATTACAAAAGGATGTTTCTGGAATAATGGTCGCCGTTAAGACGAATTTTATCGCGATAGACAGACGGTGAAGTGGATCGTTAGGCAACAAACAAGAAAATAAACAAAATATTTTAGCAATTTTTTCTCAGTGTATCGATTTCAGGTACGGTTTCAAGTTAAACGCGGGTACGATTTCAGTTCGCGTTACCTTAGCCATTAAAATACAAAACTGCGAAACTCAAATCGATAAAAATTACCGACAGGGGGTCGGCGTGGAAACATATTAATTTCTAAAAGCAGGTAGATTTCTGTTTTCAAAAACTGAAGGAAAAGTTAATAAAAATAAAAAGACTCGATCGTAAGTTGAAAATAAATAACATTTTTTGGCGGTCAATTTCGACTTTCCGGCCCGTAAGCGTCAAATGTAACTTTTCATTTTTTTTTTATTAGCTCTCATTCGACACAAAGTTATCAACGTTTCATTTACAAAGGATTACAATGAAAATTACTTGCAAAGTGTCGTGTATGCTAATACTAATGATAAAAATCCCAATTTTTATCAACCGATGCCATCAGGAGACAGACATCAATTGCTGCGCCATTCCACCAGAAGAAATATTTTTTCTTTGAGAAAGAAATAGTTTTATTCTTTTTATCATGCTGTTACAGATTTAAAAAATAAAATAAAATAAAAAATTTAAAATAAAAGGGAAACATTCTTAGAAGAGACGATGGAACTCTGGGATGTTTCAAGACCGCAAAAGTCAGCGGCTGTGCCCATTACGTCATGCTTATATTTAGTTAAATATGGCGGCCGAACATGGTCATGGTGTTGTGTCATTTGTCTAAAATTTCTCCCTTAAAACGATCGCAGTCGCCAAAATATGAGCTGGTTATTTGGATCATCGAAACCTCCGAAGTCTCAACTACCACCTACGACAGCTTTACAGCAACAGAGACTAAAACAGATCGAATCGTTGCGTACGCTTCACAAGTGAGTTTCAAGTCCACTTTTCACTTATCTTTTTTTTATTTCCGGTTCCCATTTCTGCGGCTTTGATTTATACAACTAACCTAAGCTGAGCCGCCTTGGTTTCAAAGAATCTCCCGTGTAATTTAAGCATTTCTTTTATGAACCCAAAGAAAGCCTTCCAAAGTTCTTTTCAAAAGCTAAGAGTGACAAGCTCGCTAAACACCACAGCAGGCACATCATTCACAATTCTTTAATTTACGATAAAAAAAATCGTGCTCTGATACCTAAGCGGTAATATGCTAAAATAATTTCTCAGTTGAAAACGTACTAGCATGGTGCATAATCATCGGTTCTGTCGAAGTCTTATGACTCGTATGCTGAACAAATTGCTCAATCTATGAAACGACTAATATGAAACCTGCCTGTACACGGTCTGTACTTCGCCACTATCAATGTCTATCTTCATTTTAACGAGATTAATATCCGCGTTAAATCCCAAGTTCGTAGACGTCACAGTACATACTTTTTGCTACACGTACACTTATAAGATCTCCACACAATTCTTTCATGTATAGTAAATTATGCCGTTCTTTACATTCCTGTACATTGGAAGATTTTATTTTATCTTCTATTATAACTATGATTAAATTTGTGTCAGCAAACAGAGAAGCCTAGTTACATAGGCAAGCCAAGCTAAAACAACCAGCCCCTTAGTAGTTAAAGGATAATCAGATAATAAGTGTACTTACATTCTCTTTCAATGTAACAGCTGATTGGTAAATAAAGACACTGGCAAACTTCTTAACACTGTAAGGGTTTCCTGGAGAGATGAAATGTATTTTTAAAATCTATATAGTAGTAGGACAGTAGTTATCTTTTAATTTTGGTGGCTGATGAATTTTTTTTGTCATGACCAATTGTTTCATTATATTTGCAGTATCACAGAAGTTCAGAGAGATGTGGAATACAGAGTTACCTTCAATGTGGGAACCTCAACTGTTTTTCTGAACATGTATGACACCAACTTATTTCAATAGGAATTAAAATGCTCTCAGAATGTTGAAGTAGAGTACCTACAGTTCTAACAACCATTTTTTTAACCAAGTATATATACCTATGTGAAGTATATATGCATTTGTAACATAACTGAGATGCCACAAGCCTCCTGAGTGACCAAAAACCTATAATTTATTGCTCTGTTAAACCAATTATTATTTTATAATAGTAATAGATTGCATTTTCTATTGGTTTACTGGAGCAACAATCCACATGGGATGCTAGGAGAACACAAAAAAGTTTGTAAATCATGAGCCAGAGGTGGGTGATTTAAAACTTTTCAATCATTCTCCAAACATCCCACATGGATTTTTATGCTTTTAAAACATTAAAAAGTGCAGTCTATTGCTTTAAAAGGTATCCACATAAATTTTTAGGCCACTGCTTACTTTACCCTGGAACATTTAGCTGTTGAACTGATAAAGCTTGAAGAGGTGTTACCTCAAAAAAAAAAATTTAAACTTTGTTTGTAGGTTGGTAAACTGTGCATTGGATCTATAGGGAGTGAGAACTTTTGAGCTGATCTGCATGTTGTCTTATTGTTATAGAATGAATTTGTTGAACTGTTTTTTCCTCTAGAACCCTACCCCCTCAGTTTCCTAATGAAAGGCCAGTTGTTAAAGTATCTCCACCTTTGCATCATCCATGGGTTAATGATCAGGTGAGGAACAACTTCAAGGGCACTATGTATCATAAAAGATCTAGGGTAAAAATTTCAAGTTTGGGTCCTGCAATTCATGTCAATGTCAGGGACTTAAATACAAGCAAAATGCGACTTTGAAACTCACTAGTGAGACTTAAAAGATTGTGATAAAATAATCATTAACCCCCTTTACATTAGTATGCATATTCTCCATACTTTTTGCTGTACATCTCTCAAGGTACTGACAAGGAGAATTTGTTCAACAATCAAGAACTTCCTTCATTGGTGATTATTTCCTTTATTTTACTGACCTTTTATGTTCGATTCAAGGGTGATATTGTTAGGAGAAAATAGATGCTAGTCACCATTAGGGGTGAAAGGGTTTAATCATATTGTAAAAGTTAACTTTTCTCTCTCTCTTTTTCTCTTAGATGATGGTGGTGGGATGTCCTGGAATAAATAGTGTAAGAGTGTTTCTTAATTTTTTGGTTACATTTTTTATCAAATTTTTGTTTATGAAGGTAGGGCAGCCTGTAAACATCACAGTCTTTCTGTAAAATGCACTTTAACCCTTTTACTCCCAGATCAAATTTGTAACTCTCCTTACTGTCAATCATACAATTCTTATAATGTTAGTTCAGAGAATTTAGTATTGAATCAACTCATTATCCCCAAATTGATATTTTTCTCTATTCTCATCACTTATCTGGTTGATATCATATTGATATTGCAAGGGGAAACTCTGTCTTGGTTACTCATGGAAGTTAAAGGGGCAATGCAAAACAAAACCAATCATTTTAAGACATGGGTGGCTTTTCAAAAAATCAGGATTTCTCTTCATAGCTTGAGACTAGTTATTTTTATAGTCTCCTGTTGTAAAAGGTTGCCAACTATTTCACAAACATATTTGGCAAAATAATTATCTAATAAACACTGGTAGGGAAATGGGAGTCCACTGCAGTTCACCTGCTATGAAGCAGTGCCCAGTTGTTCGAAGGCCAATCAGCACTAACCTAGGGTTAAATTTATATCCAGGTTTCTTTATTTCTTTATTCAAAAGTCTTTTAGGGTAGAGTTTCCCCATTTCTTTCTGGACCATTCAATGATCAAGTTGCAAGCAAAAATATTTAAACTGAATTTTTTTTGAAAGCCTTCAGAACTGCTATCAAATTTCACATTAACCCTGAGTTATCTTTATCCAGCTTTGAACAACCCAGGCCAGACTGTCAATGATATGGAGTTTTAAGGAGGCTAACCCAGTGATTCTAACTTTTAAGATCTGCCATGTTATTCTATTTTCCATCTGCTGTATATTTACTTGTCTAGGAATTACAGTTTGATGTTACGTCAAAATAACACCCTCTACTATCCAAGTTCATCTCTTCTTGTTACATCTTTGCTATCTATTGTATTTATTTAAGATATTTTAACCCTTGCACTCCCAAGATCTAATTGGTAATTCTCTTTACAGTCTGCCATAGAGTTCTTCTGATGCGAGTTTGAAGAATTTGGAATTGGATCAACTTATAATTCCCAATTGATATTTTTCTTTATTCTCATCACTTGTCTGCTTGATATTGTATAAATATTGTAAGGAGAAATTCTGTCTTGGTCACCCATGGGAGTTAAAGGGTTAATAATTCTCTCTACTGCTTGCCAGACAATTCTTATTGGGTTAGCCAATAATCTTTATTCTCTTCACTTGTCTGCTTGATGTTTTATTGACTGTGGAAGGAGAAATTCTGTCTTGGTCACTCATAGGAGTGAAATGGTTAAATGATGGAAATCAAAAGTTTTTGTTTCTTTTGTTTTCAGTTTTATATGCACTCCAACCTGGGGAGAGTCATCACAGAGGTTTTAAAGGAATTCTCTGACCACCCCCCTCAGTTTCGTGGTCCTCTTACATCTCAGCCACAGTAAGTGCAGCTACAAACATTTACCTGTTACATGTGGCATTTAACCCTTTCACTCCCAAGAACTGATTGTTTATTCTCCCATCTAGCTGTTATACATTTCCTTACGAATGAGTTACCAGAATTGGTGTTAGGTAAAGGTAATTTGTGTGATTAGTGTAAATATTTTCCTTACCTGTTGGTGGATAAAGTATGGTTGTTGAAGGGAGAAATTACATGTTTTAATCACTTCTGGGAGTTTAAGGGTCAAGGAAACCCCAACTATGGGACAGTTTTTTGGATTCACATATTTTGTGTAACATCATCTTCAAGACACTATTGGTTTCAATAGTGTCAAAAGTGTATTGATTTGGGATATAGATCACTCAGTTACTAAAAACATGAAGTGTTTTTGGTAACTATTAAATGTACCTGGCATTTTTCATTGAGTGGTGTAGTAACATGTTATGAGATGGTAAATATCCAACAAGGCTGGCTCTAATCAATCTAGTATCCAACAAGTGTGAATGAAGTAATTATTTCACTAAATTTTATTAAATTTTGAACATTTGGATATTTACGATATTCAGGTAACCAAATTTTAATGAATTTTAGCAAAATGACAGATCATTTTCCTTATAAGGTCAGAGTATGTTATGTGAGCTGATAACTGAGACTTAGTGAGCCAATCAGAAGGCTAGTAAGGTAATGATAGAGGTAAAAACTTAATAATTGCTATTAGTTTCTTTTTAATTCTATGTGATATTCACCTTTTTTCTGACTGGGCACCTGGTAGTTGTTCTTATTTTGGTTCCAGGACATTTGACCTTCTTGAAAGATGCTGTGTGGTCTTCCACTATTAAAAATATAAAATTTTGGAAACAACTTTAGCATATAACTTGAACATATGAATATTATGAATATTTACTAATGAAAATAATAACAAGTGAAATGATTTTGTTGTTTCATAGATTCCCTGCAAGTTCAAGTGGTTATCAGCCACTAACTCAATACAGCTTTCCCAGTTTTCCTGGTTTCCAGTATACTCCACAATCTACTGCTCCTTCCAGTACACCCTCCTTGTCTTCACTGAATTCACCTGTAAGCCAGTACTCTGCTCTCTCTGTTACCAGTGCAGGGGCTATGCCACACCTAGGCAGTAACTCACAGGTACATTCTGGCATGGTTGAGTGTTAAACATAAATTTAAATTTGTAATTATTTTTGCAAATGGGTGGCAAATGAAATTTCAACATTTCAACATTACAAGGCCTCTGGGCATTATGATCAAGTTGCAGTAAATGGGTTTCCCCTTCTTAATCTACATTATGTCCACAACAGATTAACTATTAACACCTAAACCTCACCAGCATCTAATCTCTTCTTACAGTACCACCCTTAAATCAAACATTGAGGTTATGAGAATAAACAAAGTGATCGTTTGTTAGAGGGGCTTTTAACAGTTAATAAAGAATTCTCCTTGTCAGCACTAACATGACAGGAAGTCTATACAGAACAGTACAGAAATTTTTTTTGTTTTGTTTTTATGAGGACAAAAAGGGTTAACTAAAATGTTTCCTTCTACATATCCATTACATGCTATCATAACAGTGAAATGATAGTTTAAAGAGAAGGAATGCATGTATAAATACTGGTATACACTAGGAGTATTCATCATCTTTATTTCCATTATTTTCCGGTATATTTTTCAGATCACTCAGACTACTCCATCAAGGCCACCAGTACCCCCCAGGCCAACTCAACCAGCTAAAGTGCCAAACTCATTCCCAGAGCTTGATGGTTTAAGGTAAGGCTTAAAATGACAAAACACGAACAACATCTTCCTGTATTTGATACTGAAGGTTGTATTTACATTTTCATTCCCAGTCTTGAGGAGCTCAAAGATCTTATTGATAAGCCTGAAGTAATGGACACATTTTTAGTCAAACTAGAATCAGTAAGTTTACGGCCAGTTTTGAGTCTATGTGTTTCTCCACTTTAACATTAGGATGAGTATTTGTATTAAGGTGGTATTTTCATGAAAATTCATGACTTCCAGTCCAAGGGAAATTGGGATGACACAAGAATGAATACATTGTCAAATTTAGGGGAGTGGGGTAAGGGACTTGATTCAAAAGAGCTGACCTGTGGTCTCAGATTTTTAAAGGTGGTGATTAAAGGGTGGTGGGGGGTGTGGGGAAAGAAAAACACCCCACCCAGGAGGGGAGTATTCTTTTCCCATCTGGTTGACTTAAACAAAGTGGCATTAAGGTAATCATAGTTACTAATTTGAAATTTCAGATGAAAAAGCTAGAGGCTGATAAAGAAGAATTGATGAGGAAAAATGAAGAAATAGCGAGTATGTTCCTTTTCAACTCTCTTAACCTTTGTTTTACTTCTTTGTCAAATATTTCCTGTTCACTTTTGTGCAAATTTTGTTATAAAATGTCAGGCTTCTCTCAATTTCCTCTGTTGCAATTATTTCTTTGAATGTTGTCTTGCAACTATCTGTGTTTGATCTCTCTTTAGGGTTTAATTTGTCCCTTCAATCAACTTTGGAGGGTAGTAAAGATGAACTATTGAAAAAGGTAACATTAGCAGATAATGTTCATTTATTAACCCTTGAACTCCCATGAATGACCAAGACTTAATTTCTCCCTACAATATCAGTACAGTATCAAGCAGACAAGTGATGAGAATGTAGCAATGTCAATTAGCTAAGGGATTATTAGTAGATTTGAGAGAAAATTCTCTAAACTAACATAATAAGAATTGAATAGCAGACAATAGGGAGAATTACTAATGAGATCTTGGGAGTAAAAAGGTTAACTTTGTGCAAAGGGGAGAACTACCTATACATATATATATTTTTTTTTTTTTAATTTTTTTTTTCTCTGAATCAAACTCAAATTTAGTTAAGATCATGACAAAAACACAGGAAACTGAAATTTCTTCTAAAATATTGTAATCATGCCATCTTAGCCACACCTTCAACCCTTTCAAATGAGTTTTTCCTCTTTACAATATCAAATCAATATCAGGCATTCAGATGATGAGAATATAGGAAGGCATCAACTGAGAGGAAATACTTGATTTAACACAGATTATCTGAACTTACCAAGAAGTGTGTGGCAGACAGCAAGAAAAACTAATTTCTAGAGCTTGAGAGTAAGGGTGTAACCCTTTACATCCTAACATCAGTATGCATATTCTCCATTTTGTTCCCTGCACATTTCCTGAGGTGCTGACAAGGAGAATTTGTTTGACAGTCAAGAGCTTATTTCCCTTAATGCGTGATTCAGCGGTGATGTTGTATGGGGGAATTAGATGTTAGTCACTCCTAGGGGTCAGAGGGTGCATGCATGTTTTGAAATGTTAAAAGAAAATTAAAGGTAAATTTATTAATTGTTATCAGTAAAAGCTTGTTACATTTAGCCCAAAGAGTCGTTTGCTTACCTCTGACAAATTGGTTATTCGTTTGTTCAACTTATTAGATTTGGTCATTCAATTCGTGTAAGCTGCTAATTTAGACATGTAGTATAGCTTACAAGGACTCGCTGCTTTCTTTACCTTTTTCTTCGATTTCTCTGCAGTGTGAACGCGTATCCGAGCTGAAAGGAGAGTTTGCAAACAAAAGTCAGAAACAGAAGGAGCTTAGTGAGGTAACGTTTTGTTAGAAATACCGATAGGACATTGTACCCTTTTAATTTATCTTGAACGAACTTTCTCCTTCAAGGTGGTAGGAATCTGAAAGCTGTTACTTGACATAAATATTCTCCTCCTCCATGGAGTGGTCGTGGTAAACGTAAACTTCCGGTTTGCGTTTATTTGTGGCGACGTGATTCGAGATGGCGCCAAAGAGTGCTTTGAGTGTCGTAAAACCAAAACTAAAGTCGCAACAGCCAATCAGAACAAAGAAAAATACCTGTAAGAGCCAATGAGAACTCAAGGTCAAACCGACCAAAATGCCTAAAGCGCGGTAAAACGCGGGCGACTAAGTCATAATTTGTTTCAGTTTTGCATCTGATTGGTTGAGAAAATAGAGCGAGTCTTCAGGACCAATTGCAGGTTGAAGTAAAGCAAAAACAAATTAATCCCTGAGTATTTTCGATACACAACTAACAATTGCTCAGAAAACTATCGCATTATAGCATAGAACATCTAAGAGCTGGTGCGTTCTCTGTACTTTGACTCACGATATAGTCGCTTCGGTGTAGATCGTGTCGTTTCAAGGGGGAACTATTCATCGAAGTCAAATGTCAAAACTCTTTTCTGGACATTTTGACAGGTATTGTCTCTGGTCCAAATAAGAACGCGCTTGGAAATAGCAGCAGCTCAGGCAGAAGAAGAATCGGATGTAAGTACCCTAGATACAGCCTTTCATTTTTCTTTTGTGAAATTTGGTGAGATGAAAACAAACAGGCGGGGAAATCAAGCAGACAAAACAAATAAAAACAAATCTTGGATTGCAGCTTAAATATTCCTTCGGTTTGTTGCTATATGCTTCGTGCTATATGAAAATGAGTGCATTATAAAAATTGCTTAGTTTTCATTCGCAGTGGAACTAACTGGATCTTTTATTTTCTCAAGGCCATCGCTGATGAGTTTCTTTCGAGTAAGTACGTGTGTTTTACTTCTTGGAAAGTCACATCGCCAAGAAATCTTGCTTTTTGTTTGCTTAAAACTAGCTAAGTGATGAAATACTAATTGAACCACTGTTGTATTCCTAACAGAGAGTATGACGCCAGAAGAATTTATACAGAAATTTTTAGAGAAGCGAAAGGTAGGAGCATTATTGGAGGCATTTTTTTCGTTTGTTTGTCTTTTTTCAATGGCATGGAGGTCAGTTCGCTTTTCCTCTTTATTTTTCAGTTGTGTCATAGTCGAAGAGCGAAAGAAGAAAAGATACGGCATATGCACACAAGATATTAATTAAGCTTATTATTTGTTTGACTAATCATCCAAGGAGTCATCTGACACAAGTTGATGTTGGCCGTCGAATGCCCAATGATGTTCGACCTTTTCATGTAGGAATATCACGTGACTCCATAAGCCAGAGCGAGCCACGAATTTATAATGCAACGTTGATACAAACGTTTAGACTTTGCAGAAATTGTACATAATGCAGCAGTTAAGCACGAAATATTAGGCCACGATTTGCTTTATTTTCCGAAATTCACGTGGAATGACACAGTTGTCTTATCTTTATTTTGAACGATTTTGTTCATCTGTTTTCTCAAGAGGGCAATCGAAGCCATAATACCATACAACCCAGACCAAACGATTAGAATTATTATCAATATAATTGCAATAAGAGGAAAGTGAAGATTTAAACTTATTTAAAAAGAACATTACACTCAAAGAGAACTTGAACATGAATAGAATTGTAAAATTTGATAGAGGAAACAGAATAGAAACTATGGATGGAAGATGGATGTTTTAAGACTTGGTTATGATGCCTTCTCGTCATGATGATGCTGTGGCCTCACGATTAGCGCTCTGGACGCATGAGAGTTTGGTTCCAGCCCTTGTAAACAGAATAGGTCTTTAAGATAACACGATGGCCTGGGTCGACAACTTTGAAAAAGTACCAAAATTTATATCTTCATAATCATCAGAGAAGCATATTGGAGGTTATCTAACAAGCCTGCATAACCATGAGGACACAGAACTTCTTGCATGATGCTTGAATTTGAACGGTGATAACACCATTTTCAGCGCTTAAGACTCAACCGAGTGGTCGGCGAAAACGACATACTCGAGTTATGTCATGGAGCAAATTTTATATCTAATAAATAAAACAGCCTACACTAGTAATGTTTGATGCGTCGAACATCCAGCACAGTTCACAACTAGCGTAACAACAACGTATTAATGCATTAAATCCAACCAACTTAGCAGGGATGTGACGTGTTGTTCTGTGACATGTCACGTCCGTCACGCACACCTCAGAAAGAACGAAGGGGTTCAAACAAAAAGAACGAGAATTAGTTACTTTCTCGGGAGAGGTGTTGAACCCAGCTTTTCTAACAGTCCCTCTTGTTTACGTAGGAGGTCGCTGATTTTGCTTTGTCGTAACTCAAGGTTCCTCTGAAGTGTGTCATCATCGTATACCCTATATGCTCTTGGATCGCTTACAATCGTTGACTGAGAGAGGGGACGGGACAACAGGCGGGGTTTGCCTACATTACCATTTCTGTTTACAATCCCTAAAAATGGTGTAGGATCGACGTTTTCTCCTTTGCACGAAACTTCTGTCTTGAGTGGGATGTTTAGTTGTTCTTCGTCTTTATCTACCGAGGAAAAGAGTGCCTATTAAAAGGGCTCTGTCTGCCACTTTATAGATGAGGGTTTTGGACACCATTAAAGAGATGCTAATGTTATAAATCAACGAGAAGGTGCACACAAATACTCAGGAACGATGGAACAACAAAGGCTGGTTAGTGACTTTGATAAATTCTGATCACATGGCAACCATAGCAATATCGCCTGTAGATTGGGGCATCATCACCTCAACTACCAGCCCAAAAGACTCGTGAGAGAGCTTGTTCACTGAACATTGTTTTCTGATGTTACAACGTAGCCAAATATGTGGAGGCTGTTATCTATAGTTATATAACTAAATTGTGTTTATCCGTGTCAAAAAATGGTTTTATAAATTACGAGCTCTGAAATATCCAAACACTACATTAAAGCAGGAGATACTAGACAGATAGAGCGACACAAGTGCTTTCTAGTATTTGACGCAACCAAAGTATCTGATGATTCTCTCGAAAACTTTTGTGCCATTGATGGTTGTCTTTGCAAGACGTGCCTTGTACCCGCTAAATTTCTAACTTTTATATTTGAACAGCTAAAGTATACCTTGTATTACATGTCCATTGTATGTATTCTTACTCCTCACCTACACTCTCTTGGATTTGCGATAGTTCTTCTTCCAAACTGTTATTGGCTTTCCAATCTACTTTCCTCGGCAAAGAATTACAGCGCCTCTTGATAAATTCACCACTCACTTCTCCACCATACTTTCGCTTTGACAAATAAAAACTGTTCTTGCTGTCCAGATTTTCGTAAATGTAAGCAGACGACCAATTGTTTGGGATGGTTCTTGCGGTTGCAGTGTCTGTCAGACTCGTTCTGATCCGACATAACCAAAATGTCGATCTTTTCATTTGACTCCCCGTCGTTTCCCAAGGCTGCCGACCGTTTAGAATTAGATCGAAAAGTATGGAGTTCGTCTTCCCTTTCGATGATTGTATCTTTACTTCTTTCGTGGGTTATTTTAACCTTGACTTTGTCAGAACTTTGCGAATCGCTATCGTGTAGCGAAGAGCTCCTCGAAGTTGAATCTTCACACCTCCTTTTCTCACTCAATAGAGCCAATTTCTCGAACACATTCATCCTAAAATCATCTCTTGGCACGTCTTTTTTTAGGTTTTCGGAGCTGAGGGTTTCTCCCAAAGACTTTTGTGCTTTAATCTCTGGATTTAACTTTGAACGATTCTCATCTGACAGTAAGTCGGCCATGCTTTCTTCACTTTCTGATTTTTCCTTAATTGGTGCTTGACGAGACTTTTTGACAGGCGGGGAATTTAAAGGGCTTTCAGAACCTTTCATGGAGCCGCTTGCGAATATTTTAATTCCTTTTCGCCCCATTTCATTCTCCTTACTAAAGCAAGTTTCCTGGCGTTCTGATAATTCGCGTTTTAGGCGTTTCTGAACTTTGTTGATTTCCCGAAGGCGATGCAAATTCAGTGTATTTTCCTTGATCCTCGACGGGGTTATGCGCAAAGGGCCTTTCTGTAGAGTTGGTTCGCTAGCTATCTCTAGAACTTTTGCCTCTTTAAGTGTTATATTACTACTTTGCCTCTGAAGAGCTGGGTTTGACAATCCTTCGACGCAATTTGGGCTGCTGATTTCACCGTCCGTTATCTATAGAAATTATGTGCAGATTGTTAGTGGTTATTGTTGGCTTAGATCCGTGATTAGGGACTTTGGCGCATACGTTAACTTGCATCTCTCACAAGGTAACGTCACGGTCGTAAGAGGGTCTTACATTAATCAAAGAGAGAACGCACACAGACCTTGGTAAGAAGCTTGGTTGGGAGTTCCCTCCATTTTTTTAAAATCATAACTATTATCACTATTCTTACTATTATATTATTATTATTATCATTATTATTATTATTATCATCATTATTTGTGTGCATCGGTAATGCGCACAATATAGTCACTACAAATTCCGCGCGTCGACGGATGAATGCCTTTATTTAAAAATAAAAATAAACCTCAGGGTAGCCCCGTCAGAAGCCCTAAAGAGCCACCTGCACGCTATCAATGGGAGTCCTGAGTATAAACTAAATAAAATACATTACAATTTCATGCGAAATACAAACATGAAGATATAAAACACATTTATAAGGCTTTAGATTTCTAAATTTAAAATTATGTATATAAAAATTACTCTACTTTGATGAGTTATAAACTATGGATCCATAGTAATAAAACGATCGTTTTGCAATTTCTGTCCGTACCGAAGATAGATGGATTAAATTTTTTTGGTGAGTATCACGGCTATATAAATGCTTATTGAAAGTCAAATAGTTCTTAAAAAACTGAGGACACTGCCCATTTATACATTTTCACGTCTTTTATACATTTACACGTCTTTTCTCAAAGGCTTCTACCAAGATCAACTTGGAGAGGGAGAGTCGCAGGCATAACAAAGAGGTCTTATCGTTCACTCTTCTCTGTGACCTGAGCACAGGCATTTAAGTAGGGAGGAATTAATGGTGCAAATTCAAACTCATTATCCAAGTTTCCCCTTAATGCAAGAGCCTAAGGCTCTCTGAGACGAACGCAATCTTTTAAGGTTATTTATATTGTGGTAGAACGAGCTTAAAGAGCAGAACCTCTGCTTACCTTGATCTCATCATCCTTAGCTATACTGTATCTTACTTCTGTTCCTTGATCGTGTTCGTCAGATGGAAGGCTCACTTTCGTTTCGTTCTTAGGAACAGTCATATTCAGCAGGGGAACCAATAAGGCCATCATTGTGAACAGGAAAAGAGGAGCAATTCTTCGCAGAAGGCAGATCAAGAATTGTCGATATGGAATGATCAGTTATCTTTCGAGAACTTGCTGCATTGTTGTTACAGGTTGCCGGAATTGCAAGAGAAGATTTAGAAAAATGGTTATTTGGTGTGTCACCACCTTCTTCTCCACAGAGAAGCGTAGTTTTTTGCAGGGTATTGTAACTCTCTTCCCCCATAGAGTGCACTGAAACGATCTTTGGAAATGCGCTATGGTCGTATGCTACTCCGCTTGGTAAACCTTGGGCATTTTCAGTGACTTTGGAGTAACAGTTTGTAAATTGACACCCGATAGCGTGACGTTCCGAGGCGTGACATCCCGTAGTGTGACATCCCGTAGAACAGCGATGGGTGAAATGATATGCTGAAGATGATTGATGAAAAGACGCTTGTTCAGTCACCTGTGAACCTAGGAAGATAAATAAAGGCAACAGAAAAACGAAAATTAAGAAACAGCAAATTATGATGCAGTGGTTCAGATTGTGATGCACTCGTTCTACCACAATATAAATAACCTCTCTCTCTCCGTCTCGCCGTTATTCAAAAGAGAAAAAGGAATACAAAATTGACGCAGCAGTTAATTCAAGCAAATTTTTTTAAAAAAGCAAAAACAGGAAAAGAAAAGAAAACACTCAATAAAAAGAATTAGGGAGAGATTTTATAAAAAGCATATTAAGGAAATTTTTGCCGCATTCGAATTTGAAGAAAAAAAAAATTGGTTACACGAAATGACCGGTGTTTTTTTGTTTGTTTGTTTCTTTTTTCAAATCTTCCTGGGCGTATTGTCAAATATGATAAGTGTGGGGTGTACAATACAAACTCTTTTTCTTCTTAATATATTCAACTTCGTGCGCAATATAAAACGTACCGCTTGTGACATATTGCCACCCGATATAATGCGGCCGGTACCAGTAAGGCTGCTCGTGCCCATTCCTCGGTGCCAGAGGAGCGCTTGTGGGAATGTTCGCTTGAACAGATTGTGATGTTGTCCACGAAGAAAAGCAAGGCAGTTGAAAATCAGGTGGAGGATTTTCTTCCATTTCTTGTAAAGTGCTTAAAGAACAAATGTCACGATAACACAACGTCGTCCTGGAAGCAAAACAAATGGAATAAAGTAATTTATTAGCGAACGACTCCGTACGAGTTTCCATCTTGGTTGGTTCATAACATAAAAACCATTTCTATTTATTTCTCCATTTTTGGGGTTGCTCATCCAGTTTAAGAGATCCTAACTCTGTCCTAACTCTGTTGTGTGTTGCCTAGCGGCTCGGCAAAAATCAACCACAAGCCAACTCTACTTTAATGAGTAGTTGATAAAAATCACGCAGCGCCATCTTGGCTTGTGCGCCACATCAAACCGTCAAGGGGCCCTTTTCTCGAAGGTCCCAGTGAGTAAACGGTCCCGAAGCCGTATTTTAAAATAAAAATTTTAATTCTCTTTTCTTATACGACTATTCTAATACGGCTTTGGGCCCGTTTAGTCACCGGGACTTTCGAGAAACGAGCTCTAAGCTCGATGTGGTGTGCCACACCATCCAAGATGGCGCTGCGTGATATCGGTCCATCTTCTACTTCTACTAAATAAAGTTAAGTTTTGACGTACTCCACTATAGAAAGTTACTTTACACTAAGTTATGTTAGTTTTCCCGAGCGTAACTCGTTAGTAGATGTAACAACGTACAATCGTCTTTTGGAAGAAGAAGTTTATCTAACATCTTCGAAAGTGTTAGATACACAATTCGGCGCACTTCTTACCTTAAAAACCCATGTTGCACAACTGTAGAACATGAAGATACGAGATTTACTGTAACGTCAGAGCTTTCACCCGTCACATTGTGCAGGTTTGACGAAACAAACGACATCAATTCTGATATGTACGCGTTCTATTTTGGGTGTAAATTCACCAGGAAATCTAAATTAACGGATTGGAACATTATCTTGGAGAGGCGTATTGCGCAGGATATATCAAACGTGCAGTAATCGTTTCCTTTCACTCATGCTGTAAGAAGTTATTGCTCGAAGGAATTCACACTTCCATCTCCGCGGGTAGCGCCTTCTTCACGACCCAATCAGAAGGTGTGATGATCATTGCCGCAATATTTCCCAAGTGTCAGACCTAATTGATCAATCCAATTTGTATACTATTAGATGGCGAAACCTTTGGTGGTTTCGCAATTGTGTTACTCGGGATATGTGTAACAGTGATGAAATCTTCCGATTTACGTCCTTCAGTTACCGCAATGATTTGATTGCGCTCGGGGCACTTATTTACTTTTGGTGCCTAAAGGTAGGGCTCTTATTCGAAAGAGGGCGCTTATGAACAGGGTGCTTCACTCTGTTTTGAGAAACAGCAGAATGTACGAAACAAAGCGTCGTTGTTTGCTTGGAAATGAGTCAAGAAGACTGGAAAACGAAGTAAAAAAAAACTTGTTAATTTTCCGCCCTGGGTCTTTTCAGTGACCATAACGACCAGCGAGGTCATTCGTTTGAAGGAATTTTGCACTCACATAAGCATTGTAGTCGAGAGACTGTGACGTAGACCAGTGTTTTCCAGCAACTAAAAAGGAGATAAACCACGGTTGATGTTTTTTAAATGAACTTGTACTCGTACAGTGCTATCGCTGAAAATCGCAGTTATTGACACTTGATGAAAATGGAATTTTTTCCAAAGGAATTTTGTACCTTCCTCTAATTACGACGTTTTCAATGCTTTTCAAATCGCTTCCTTTTATTTTGCAAGACCGGAAGTGTCCCCACGGGTAGACTATGACATTTAGATGCGTAAGTATGAAGAAATCCATGCTACGGTGATCATAGGATTACGAGCAGTCCTCTTTGGACGAGGTTTATTTGTGCACCGCGCGGGCTATGGATGTTAAGTGCCTCACTACGAGCGGTGCGTCAACATAATTTTTTTCCATCGACCTTTTTTTTACTCGCGCGACAGATTTCGCCGACAGGACTGCTCAGAGTTTAATGGCGGTAACGTGTGAAGCACTCAACATTTCAATAACCTTCGTCCCCGAATAAGCGCCGCCCTAAATAGGCGCTGCCATTGAATGAGCGCCGCCCTCAGGACGCGGAAAGATCAGACGAGCTCCACCGCGTTCGTTTGAATAAATATGGCCAACTATATAGCATAGAAAACACGAGCTAAAAATGGCTTAATCTCTGTTCTCAACCAATCATAATCATGAGTGAATTCTAAAAATTAAAACTGATGACTATAAAATACTGATGAGTTCATAATTTATCATTAATATTTCCTACGCAAACCACTCATAGGTAATTTGGTAGTATCAACTAAGTCGGTGATTAAGAGTTTCAAAGCTGTCGTTTCGAGCGTTAGCCCTTCGGCATAGCTCTGACCAAATTACCTTGTTGTACTCTCCCATCGACACAGCACCAAAGCTTTTGAGAAACTAATCCCGTGTCCAACTCATTCACATAGCGCGCTTATTCTTTTACTGTTGTCGTAATGAGAAGCGACGAGAAGTAAGAATGCTTGTTAAAAAGCGAGTGTAAGAGCTAGCGATGTTAGTGTGAGATGAAAGTACTTTTCGGACCTTTAAAGCACCAGGACAGTACGTGACCCCTGAAGTGTCTTACCGCTGATGCTTCCTGCGTGACTAATCACTCAGTCGGTAATCATCAGACCGTTGTATGAAGCCATTGTATATAAAGCCGTTACAAATCATTGCCGGAAACCGAATCTGCCCAATAGCTTTCATCCAAGGTGAAAAGATTTCCTGTCTATCTTAAGGAAGCTTCAGGAACTTATTATTGCGTGCAATTTCCAACTGGTGAGTCGACACGTTTTCTCGTATGTTCGTGAAACCTTACGAGTAGATTTGATTCTCAAGATATCTTATATTTAGTCTATACAATTGCGCTTTTGTGCTGTAGAAAGCGAAATCACGAGTAGTCAAATGGAATTATTGTTGACCCAGGAATAGAAAGATGGCGAACAGAAATGGTAATTCTTCTGAAAATAGCTTCAATATCCCCATTCCACAGAGCGAACTCTACCAGAAAAGTACCCCAAACGAAAGTACCGTCAATGTGAGTGGTGTTACGCGCAGCAAGAAATCTAGCTACGTACTCGGTAAGTTGAATTTTAAGCACGTGCGATTGGATATAATTATTACCATCTCCGGTTCGGTGGCGATAAAGAAAGACTGGAGTTAAAATAACGACGCTTTTGACTTTCAGCTCTTAAAATACCATAATAGCTATCAATCTGATCAGCGCACGTAGTCACAGAGCTTGGCAACTTCATCTATATTCAACGCCAACATTTTAGGGCTATTTTCATCAATCGTTCACTTGTGTGTCGCAATTTTTTTCCTGGTCGAGTTAAACATGAACAAAATGATAACTGAAGTCATATCACAAAGCCAGGATTTGAAGGCGATTTTGAGCAATCGTTTTCTTGTGCGTTGCAATTGTAACCCGGATGGGTTGCACATATTTCACGGAAGCGAAGCAGACCACCAAATGAGCTATATACGCTACCCTTTATTAGTCTCCTAATACGTGCGGTAGTCAAGACTTTTTTTAGCCTTATATCATTTTATACATGATATTGATCTTAGATTAAGGGTTTGTACGTGGTCCTTTGAATCTTAACAGCGTCGCGAAATGAGGTGAGGATCTCATTTGGCCTAATACGAATTGAAAACAAATATCAGAGTATATTTTTTGTGTGTGTATGTGCGAACTTAGAACTAACTAAAGCGAATTAAAGATAATTCCAATTCAGAAGAGGTGTATTACGACCTATTTCTGCCCCAGGGTGAGAGAAACTCGTATGTCGCAATTTTTTTCTTGGTCGAGTTAAACATGAACAAAATGATAGCTGAAGTCATATCTCAAAGCCTGAAGGCGATTTTGAGCAATCGTTCGCTTGTGTGTTGCAATTTTTACCCGGACGGGTTGAACATATTTCTCGGAAGCGAAGCA